AGCGTCGACATCGGGGACTAAAGAAGACTGACGTCTTTATGTTATTTTGTTGTTTACAGTTTCTTTGAAAGCGTACTGTTATTTTGATTTTGTAATGGGATATGAATGCTGAATGAATGAGATGTGTGTTTTATTGATTTATTATGTCGGTAAAGATAAGTAATCATTTGGTAAATTTAAAATTTCCGACACAATATCAATAACAATTTATATGAATTACTGACGTCGGCATAATCTTATAGTGCTTCTGACATTAAGCTTGTCAGTTATCGGAAGCAATTCACAACTTATCCGACATCTGTAAACTTCTTAATCGAACAAATCATAAAAGATTTGCTTTTTACTGGAAATATTTATTGTAAGCTCACCAAATCATCGTCGGGATTCGGCATTGTTGAGCATAAGCCTCCCCAAACCATCTTCAGGGCTTGGAAGTATCCGGCTTTGCTGCATCCGGCTAGGTCATACCAACTTCAGGGTATGAAACACGTTTAGCCTTAGCAGCGAGGACCGATTTATTGTGGTCCGAGTGATCGAACAAATTACTGGGGTTCGTCACACAAAGTTTATTGATAACAAAACATGATTCGTGTACAACAGTAGGACAAAAAACTTTTTTACACGTCAGCGATAGGACTTTCGGCATCAGATCTACTGGTAATATTTCTTCAGGTATGTTGTATGCCAAGGATATTGAAGGGGAACACCGTCCAATGTTTCAAGTCGGAAAGTACCATGAGAAATCTGGCGACTCACTCTGAAGGGTCCTTCCCATTTTGGTTGCAACGGGCCGACATGAGCACCAGTAATTCTTTTCAGGACGAGGTCTCCTTTAACAAACAAACGTGGTTTGAGCCTCGAGTTTATATATTTTTCGCTACGCCGTTTATAAGCAGCATTGCGAACTTCAGCATTATCACGTAGTTCCTCGAGCAGGTCGAGACTGGCTCTCAAGTTTGCTGAATTGCTTTCCTCGGAGAAGTGAGTGACCCGATATGTTGGAAAGGCAAGTTCAACCGGTATCATAGCTTCAGCTCCATAAGCCAACGAGAACGGAGTTTCCCCGGTCGAACTTTTCGTCGTCGTCCGATAAGACCAGAGGACATAAGGCAATTCATCGGGCCATGACCCTTTTGCAGCTTCAAGCCGAGTTTTCAGGCCATTCTTGATGATCTTGTTCACGGCCTCTATTTGTCCATTGGCTTGTGGATGATAAGGTGACGAGAAGAAATGTTTAATACCGTAATCTTCACAGAAACTTTCGAATCGTTTACTTTCAAACTGACGACCGTTGTCGGTTATAATGGAGCTGGGGACGCCAAACCGACAAACAATTGACTTCCAAACGAAATCTACCATTTTTTGC